CGTTGAGCGACCGCCACAAGGCTCGGGGCGTGGCGCCGTCGGGGGGTGGGGGCTGCGGCTGCGCGCTGCTGGGGCCGGGGTCGCCGCTGCCAGCCAGTGCAAGATATTTGAACGCCCTGACCACTGCCCGGCAGCTGCCTCCTGGTCAGGTCCTGTCGCCGCGCATCACGGCCGGCTGCCCCCATAAGTGCGGCGAAGCCGCGGCGGGGGCAAGCCTGCAGGCGCAGGCACCAGCAGAAGCGACGGGGCGCTCGGGAGCAGCGACGTGCGGCGGTGGTGGCGGGTGCGTTGCTGGTCACGCGCCGCATCAGATGGGAAATCAGGGGTTGAGCCAACAGCAGCAGCAGCAGCAGCAGCAGCAGCAGCAGCAGCAGCAGCAGCAGCAGCAGCAGCAGCAGGTGTCCAACTACAGCGGAGGCAGGGGTCGGCATGCGGCTGGACAGCCCAAAACCGCTTCCGCTGGGATGCACACCTGCGCAAGGCAAGGCTGCACGCCGGCTGGCAACCGGGCCTGCGGCAAGGCAGCGCACAAGCCGCCGGCGCTGCCTCCACGGCTGGCGTACAGCTGTTTATCGCCGCGCTCTAGAGTGTAACGAGGCGGCATTCGCGCCTGGCACGGCTGTGGTTGCCGGGCACGTATTGTAGATCATGGGCCGGCCCCAACGGTGGGCTGCAGCAGGCTGGCTGGGTGGATGCATCGTGAGTGTGCAGGAGTGCGTGTGTGGAGTTCACAGCTGCGTGTGCATATCCATGGGCATGTCTACCCCGTGACCTGACCGTCCAGACCAGCCAGTCTGGGTCATTTGTTTGCCGACAGGCAGCCGCGGAGCGATGGACTCAGGTTCGCCCGCGCGCCCCACGATGGCGGCCAACGGTCAACAAGAGCTCGTCCCTGCTTGCATGATCAGGCGTATCAACGATGGCCCTGAGCAAGCAATCCTGAATGAAGCCCTTATTATTGGTGACACGACGTACCTCACAACCGCCCAGCGTGCCAGCGGCCGTGCTGTGCGCGTTCCCGACATCCAGCAGCAGAGCAGGTGCGCTCGGCGCTACTAGCTGCAGCTTGGCACGTGGTGGGTGCAGCAAGACGCATGCATCCCCAGTGGCTTGAATGTGAGGTTCCCATCGCCCTAGCTGCGATCTCCGCATGCGAGATGGCGGTGCCTCGCTGGGCGAGGGGTCACCGGCCAATCGCGAGTTACAGCGTTGATCGGAGCATCTGTATCGAAGGACACGTAGTACATGATATGTGTAATTACGTGTTTGGATGATCTGAATGTGTTTTGAGCAGGACAGGTGAGGGGATCGAACCGTTGCTGCAAACGAGCGGCATCGCTGGCCCCGGGGGCCCACAGCTGCTCAGGTGACTTGCGAGATACTGGCTACCCGATGTTATCACAAAAGCCTCCCTGCAACGCCGCCCGAAACCGCACCTGACCCAGAGCGCGTTCACACTGCGCCCCCCCCCCCACCTTGCACCAACAGCTGAGCTCGCCCCCTCGCCGCCCTCTCGGCACACCCAATCCGCCGCAGGCGCCATGGCCGAGTCATTTGAGTTGTTCTCTCGCGAGGGGGGAATCTACGACCAGAATGGGCAGCGTGTGCAGATCAAGGGGGTCAACTGGTTTGGCTTTGAGACTGCTGACTTTGCGCTGCATGGGCTGTGGTGCGTCAACATGAACCAGACTCTGGACTTTGTTGCGCAGGTGCAGCACAACTCGGTTGGTTTCAATCCCGCTGCTGCTGCCGCTGCTGCCGCCGATCCCTCTGCTGTCGCCGCTGCTGCCGCTGCTGCCGCTCCTGCTGGTGCTGCTCCTGCACGGGCGAGCCTCCCGGCTCGGTGCCGCGCCCGCGAACCCAATCGTGTCGCTACGCTCCCATGCCGTGCAGCCGACCCCGCACTGGCCCCTCGCTCCAACCGCTGCTCCAAGCGCGCCCACCCC